GCAAAGGGACGTAATTTTGTTGAATGTCGATGGACGACATCGACCCCCCCCCCCCCCCCCCCCCCTCCTTAAAAAAGATTCGCGCAGCTTTGCGCAGCTACCGATCTGTCCTTGTTTTTGCTATTGATGCTGTTGAAATACATTATTTTCATTCTTCATAGGTGCTTATGTTCGCCCTTTGTATTTTCATTTATAAATAATGTTCTGAAATTGGCGATTTTCAAGCTATAACATAGTTAAAATAAGATTGACACCCCCTTTATATTTCATACCGTTGGATTCCGCCATTTATCTTCTTTCTATTAATGTGCTCAAATGCGTTCTACGTCACAGATTTTGCGAAAAACATGTGATTGAAACATGTGACCCAATGCGGCTAGACAAAATGGCGGCCTCCATATATTATGTCAGAAACTAAAATAACGTTATTTCAGAAGACGATTACAGTTGTTTTGATAACGGGAAACATTGCAAATAGTTACAAAAACGTAACTTTAAACTAAGATAGGCTCTTCAAAAGTCTTTTAATGTGTTATAGTAACAAAACATGCAGAAAAATTATCAGCAAACAGTGACCCAATTTGCCTTTGATAGACCTTTGAATCCAATATGGCGGAACTTTTGTTATCGCTACCATAGAACCCGCATAATCCACAGAATAACTTCATAACAATTTTAATATACGGCGATGTCTGAATATGGAAATATGTTTTCTAAAGTTGATAACAAATTGACGTTGTTCTGATCTAACTGTAGACATGGTAGACGACACAATATTCATAGCTTTTTCATCCGGTTCTCCACTTATAAAACTCGTATCATGATAAACGATTGATGCTCCAATTCCTCTCAATGTCTAGAATATAATTATACAGGTTTTACGGCGAAGTAAGTGCGGAATAAAGACATATTTACAAATATCTGTTTAGGTAGGAAACGGAAATCTGACGTTTCCCGTAGAAATCAATTTATGATTGGCTGATTGGTTATTGAGGTAACCATAGGGGACCTCGCGAGATGCACGAGGATAGAGCACGCGAAAATGATTATAAAACAACCTGCACAGGGTGTGATGGGCAGTCTGGCTACAAGGCTCAAGGCGGAAACGTAGCTAAAATAAAAAGAACTGCTAGGCGGAAGGCAAGAGCAGTTTTAATTATTTGTCTAAAGGGGAAACAAAGAAAGGTTTCTTAATACAGAATATTTCTGAAAAAGAAATTAATTCAATAAAACAAAAAGGGTGTCCTTTACTTGCACCTTGACTACGTGGTTAGTTGTGAACGGAGTTTCATACATAACTATTAGGGTTCAGAAGTACACAAGTTGAATTTAAAGATAAAATACGTAATATTTAGAGAAATATATAATTATTTTTTGTGACAAAAGTTCCTTAAAATAAAGGGAATTTATTTATTTGTCTGGATTAAGACAATGTTATAAACTATTGTCATTAGCCAAGTTCTTAACACTTTAAATGAGAATATGAATAAGTGAATAGGCTGAGTAGTGTAATTACAAAAACTACTATAAATTATTTATATTGAGAATGTTGATTTACAAAGCAGCATACTTGTAAATATACAGCAGGCAATACGACCCTTAATTACCGTACAAATAAAGAACGTATCTGGTTAGAATTTGTACAGAGTTTACTTTCGGATAAAAGCAATAAACAAGTTATCATCATCCATATTAGAATACTTGTACTGACCAGCCAGTTCCAGCATACAGAAGAACTGAAATCTGGGATACCTTGCTTTTTAGTATAGTATATTAAAAGCAGATGTATCATTGTTACAGATGATAATAGAGAATATTACCGTGACATAACAACCGTCAGTTAAAGAAAGAAGACTGTCCGTTTAAAGATTTATACAGTATCCTCACGAGAAGACTAACCGTTTTATTTCCATATCTGTATAAGGTTCCCAATATTTTTCCGCAGAACAATACATTGTGCAAGAGGACCAGGCAGCTACCCAGAAATATATTGACTATAATAAGACATTTTATGTGTAACAAATTATAATTTTTTCTTATACATGGTTAATAAATTTTATATTGTATATCCAACTTTCTCATTTACATTCACCAAAAGCCAGAGACTCAACGATCCCTTATAAGTAACACAGTGCTGTGGCTATAATAATAGTTCTTCTTACATTTAGTATTCTTGTCTTGATAGTGTAGTTCTTTCTTGTGTATTCGTGTAACTTTGACAGGTAAAACGATAAACAGTCAAAAGTCCCTCTTTTATTATCGACCGGTTGTAGATATTTCTTTGGGCACCGATTGTGTTCCTTTAATAGCAAACTTGTTCCTGTCTTGTTATGAACCACTGTTTAATACCAACCTCATTAAACGATCCTTCTAAATTCAAGTTAATTGATAACATTATGTTATACTTATCGTTAACTTTATGATGTGTTTGCTCTATATTATCAATAATTCTCTATCTCTTCTGCGGAAATTTGTCCAAGGGAACTTACTTTAAATAAATATGATATTAACAGCAATAATTGTCTTTTTAGATTTAGATATTACAGTTTCACAGGGGGAAATCAAATCTCAATTTACGACAAGAGAGACGATTTTTCTTTCAGTTGGTCACTTCTAACGTGTGTATATCTAACCAACTCGTTCGCCATGCTCGTGTTTGTAGTGAAGTTTTAGATTTCAACTAACATAATCTATGTATACCAGTTAATTTTTATGTCCCCGATGTTGTTACTATACATTACTTAATTTGAAGCAGTAGAATTGGTACCGTTGTACTAAGCTGGATATGTACTGATTGATACTTTAGATTTGGGAGAAAATAGTTTATGTATTAGCTATTATTGGCTTTAAGTAATTGCGAGTACTCTTAGATCGGTACTTTGTGTTTATGTGAGTTGTATTTGTGCATCGTGTCGATCTGTTGGCCAAGCTATTCCAACTGACTTTTCTTATTGTATGTTGTAATGCTGCATCACTGTACCAGGTTAGGTGAACGTTGAGCGTAAACAAGCATGTTTAACCCCGGCACTTTTATATGTATTTCTCATGTCAAGAGCCTGTATTTCAATGCTTGTCGTTGGTTGCGGTCTCTAATATTTGAGTTTCGTTTAATTTTTTTTGGTCATTGTTTTTTGTATGAATGCGTTCACATTTTGTTATTTTGGTCCTTGAACAGCTGACTTTATGGTATGGGTTTTGCTCATTATTGAAGGCCGTGTGGGGATCTAAAGTCGCTTAAATCCATGTCATTTCATCTTAAGATGATGGTTTTTTCGATAGCAATCTTACTATCCCTTTATCTGATATTGTAATTTGGTAAAATTGTCATTTAGGGCAATGGCTCCGATAAGAATGGATTTATAGTTCGGCTATGTTGATGAATTTGTAGATCTGATCACATTTACATTCCCATATAAAAGAGTTCCAATGTCCCCCGCTTTGTACATATTTTATCTATCCAAGCATCAAGGGCGTAAAAAATACACTTTTTTATTCTTTAAAAATGTTGATAAAATTCTTAAAGAAATGAATGCTTCAGAGCAAATTCAATGTGATTTCCAATATAATTAATATTTCCAAGGGGCATAACTCATTAAAATTTTTGGATCAGCACTTATTTTCGAAAGTGTCAAAGATATTGCTGATATAAATCTATGATATAAATTTCATAAAATTCTGGCAAGAATTGTACATATGAGAGCGCTACCGATGCAATTTTCCATATAATTAATATCTCCAAGGGGCATAACTCTTTTAAAAATATTTGATCGGCATTGATTTTCGAACTCGTCAAAGATATTGCTAATATAAACCTATGATATAAGTTTCATAAAAAATCTGGCAAGAAATGTACAAATGAGAGCGCTAACCATGCAAATATCATATATACTTAATGTTTCCAAGGGTCATAACTCTTTTTAAAATAATTGATCGGTATTGATTTTCGAGCTTGTCCGAGACATTGCTGATAAAAACCTACAATATAAGTTTCATAAAAATCTGGCAAGAACTATACACATGAGAGCGCTAACGACGCAATTTTCCGTATAATTAATGTTTCTAAGGGGCATAACTCTTTTAAAAATAAATGGTCGGCACTGATTTTCGAACTCGTCCGAGTCATAACTGATATAAACCAATGATATAAGTTTTATAAAAATCTGCCGAGAATTGAACATGTGAGAGTGCTAACAAGACCGGACGGACTGACGGACGCCTGGTATTTCTATGTCAACCACAACGCGTTGCACGGGGGACAAAATTTGCCATGTATAATAGCTTCGATGAGCAGAGTAAAAAAAAGTTATAGCTGACTATATAGTATGGGATTTGCTCATTGTTAAAGCCGCATGGCGACCTATAGCTGCTTATATCCTCCATATTTGGACTCTTTTTGATAAAATTCTCAGTTGCAATCATACCACATCACCTTATTTTATTTCTATTAAAAATGATGTCATTAACGGAAATTTATTTTACATTGATCTACAGTAGCGGACATGATAAATGTAATACGTGTTTAACAAATTTACCTCCGATTAAAAATACGCGTTACAATTTACCTCCGATTAAAGCCCACATTTTACTTGTTTGATTTGACCGGAGATCATCATCAAGTTCTCAATAATGAATTTTAAATTCTAGAAATCCTTCAATGACATTTTCTGATTGCTTGTGCATGATGTTCAGTCTTGTTTGTTTGAGTTTATGAATTATGTCGAATAAAAATAAGTTAACATTTATCATACGTAACATGACCGTTTCAAATCAGAGTCATGTGACGAAATATTACATCCATCCCTGTGAGGACCATACAAATTGATCGGTTATATCATATCTTTCAATGGTTTTAATATTTTCTTTTAAAACTTAAAGAAGAACGCTTACTTAGAAAAGTCTGTCAAAGATGAAGGTTCACTGAGACCAATTATTACAGTTAACTTGATTTCCTGTCAGTCTACAGCTTGTAAAATGACGTAATGAAGAAAAAAAGTCCAAAACACATTACACAGATACTAAATAAACTCATCATAGATTTGTACGCCAAACGCGCCCTTCGTCTACAAAAGACCAAAGGGACATTCAAACTCATAAGTCGAAAATAAACTGACAACGACATGGTTAAAAAAGAAAAAGATCAACAGACAAACAACAGTAAACACAACTCAACATAGAAAACTAAAGAATGAGCAACACGAACCCTACCAAAATCTGGGGGTGATCCCAGGTGCTCCGGAAGAGTAAGCCGATCCTGCTCCATATGTGGCACCCGTCGTGTTGCTCATGTAAGTACAAACCCGGTGATAAGTCTAAAACGGTATGTCACATTCGGAGAAAAGGGGACGAAATTGTAGTTACAACAATTGGATCATATCCGTCGTCATCTGTGAAACAGGTATTCCATAATGGTCAACCAACTCGTGATGGCGTCTGTAAAATTTACGAAGGGATGATTTCAACTTCACCACTTGGATTCATTGATTGTTGGTTGCTTAACGTTCAGCGGAAAATATTTCATGCATGTTCAGGATAAAAACAAATTAACAATGAATTCAATAGGTAGGTCATGTAATAGAGGCCATCTGGGATGAAGGTCAGGGAAAATTTGGATTGCCACTGAAAAATGAGGTTATATTGGATAGGGACCGAAATTTAGCCTTGCAACAGGCCAACTACGTACCCCTCAAAGAGTTGCTGCAAGGGTTCTTAACAGCCACCCTTGGGGGTTTCACCACTTGGAACTGTTAGTTTAAAAGCTTCCTTGTAAGCAGCAACCCTCTACCAAGGAAATCATGATAAGAAATACAAGCCCTGGAATAGTGACCCTCGAATCAAAAAAGTTAAAAAGGCCAAATAAAGTGCGAAGTTGAAGAGCATTGAGGACCAAAAATTCCGAAAGGTGGCGCAAGAAAAAAGCACCATTAAAAAACCGAATTGAACTAGTGCTCTGACTCTTTAAAGTTCCATCTCCACTACCTTTCGCATTACGCTTTTAAAAATCCAGTGATTAGAATATGATAATTATAGTACATTGTTCTTTATAAATTTGCTGCGACCGCAGAGCTTTTCTGGATTCACATTTATCAGGAATGTCCAAATACAAAACCTTTGAGAGATGGGGACGCATAAATACTGGAGTAGATATATGATTGAAAGGGACCTAAATGGAATAATCAAAACCATCTCTAAGGTTAATCTGTCATAGAACTGTTCTTCAACCCCTTAATTTTGGTATGGACTTCGCACTGTTTTGACACCGGTGAGTCTTATGCAGACGAATCGCGCGTCTGGTGAACCAACAATATAATCCTGGTATCTATGTTGAGTGTTTTAGTCATTTTATTTGGGAGATAATGTATCTCAAAAACATTTGCTCATGTATATAACTTAATATATATAAACAGATATTAAACACAAATGAGATTTTAGGTGAGTGTCCGTCAAAAGTAACAAAACAGTTATAAAAACACCAATATTAAAGCCCAATGTTGTCCTTTTCGTCAAAGTGTAGAATCATTTGACGAGAGGGTTGTTGAAGAGTTGTCATTGTTTGCTATACAAAGAGATTTGAGGTAGTTGTGTATTGGATTAATCAAATATACTACTATTGTTGACAAACATAGACATCCGGCAAACAATATTGCGATATCATAATTCTTGGTCCATTCATAGAGAACTCCTGCAAATGAAAAATCAAATACTATATTAAACATATCAAAGTAGATTTCTATAGGTCTGCAGTATGTAAGTTGATTCTGCTATTGTACGACTACTACTAATTAATTGTATATGCATAAAGCCAAGTCAAGTCAAGATATTAAAAAAATAAAGATCGCAAAATTAAGGACCGCTTGTGTTTTATTTTTTGACATGAATTAAGTGGTACTCCTTCTCGACATAGAGAACATCTCCTTCGCCAAACTTTTGCTGCTTTTTACACCGATATATCTTAGATGGTTTTTTTTTAAGAAGCCATGTTATATGAATAACACAACAGCTCATTAATAGTTTTTCTGCTTTTGTTGTATCTATTTCTGAAATTACTTAATTGAGTGTGAAATTCCCTCAACATGACGAACGTATCCCTTCCCTGCTGAACGTTTCCGCATTTCTATACTAGTATGTGCTTTATCAATTCATTAAAACAATATTTATTTTTATAGGGTACTTTTTATAATTACCTGCAAATGGAGGTCCAAATACAGCTGCTGGTGCTTTAAGAACAGTAAGTACTCCTAATCCTTTAGTTAAGTTGTCTAATCCGACACTGTCTAGAACCATGATTGGTTGTAGTGGACAGTAAAATGCTGAAATTTAAAAAAATATGTTAGAAAAATACGTCATGATCATCGTTATATACAAAATTCCCTAAGGCTGATATCATATCTACTAAGTCATACATTTTGATACTGTTTCATTCCAATTATCTTTCATATAAAGGTGTTGCATTTTGGCTGAGGAAAGATGATTAATAACTACAAAAAACAGTATGATTTTCAATTTCGAATAACCAAGACGTGCTCTTTCACTCGATCGTCTTCACTATCAAAACATCAGAAGTGAGGCTGAATTTGCAAACTGAGCAAATCCTGAACACATCTACCATTACGAGACAACAAAAAATAAGGGGAAAGAACCGTGTCATTAATTATTCAATTTCAATTAGTACATATTTTGGTACTTGCAATATGATGAAAATGAGATATGACGTCAATGAAACAGTCTGTCTCATTCAAACATACCAAAATTACAGCACTTCAACCTGGTCGACCCATTTTGCATAACCTACCTGTTTGATTTAATTTTAGTTTTTTTGTCCTGAATATGCATGACATATTTGCCATTGGACATTAAGCAATCAACAATCAGTCGATACGAAAAGTATAGTCTCTTCCTTTGGAGTCCCCGAGTTCACTTATGGTTTTCGTCAGACCTTTAATTTAATGTGTTATGTTCTATGGATGAATTTCTTTTTTTTTTATTTTGACCATGATGCTGTCTGTCACTTTGATTACCCGTTAGAATCCTCTTGCTATTTTAACACAGAGACAGTGTGTGGAACCAACATTTTGATATATATATATGTTCCAGACCATCTGCGTATATACTCATATGGTACGACCATACGCGTATGGTCTGGCTAATTAACATGATGAATGTTGAAAAGGTGTCATACAAATTAAGAGTTTCAAAAAATGAAATTTTGACTTGGTCAATCATATGGTAATCATTGCTACATAATTAATTTAATAAAGTGAATATTTATGGGCTTTGCTCATTGTTGAAGGCCGTACGGTGACCTATAGTTGTTCATTTCTGTGTCATTTGGTCTCTTGTGGAGAGTTGCCTCATTGGCAATTATACCACATCTTCTTATCTTTATATTACTCACAAGTTAGAATTATAGTAAAATAATTTTTAAATGGTCATTATCATGATTATCGACTTGTCCTTATGAAACGCAATATATTGACTTTGGAAAATTACTTCTAGAAATATCTAAATGAATTGTTAAACAATAAGTCAATTCATTAACTCACAGGAACGTTGGTCATTGAACCCTCTTTCTTTTGTTTTTTATTTTTGTTTTTTTTTTTTTGGTGTTTAAATTTGATTTTTATTGCATTATTATTTCTTAAATTTTTCTTATAAAATGTTTTTATTTTATTTTTTCCTGTGTTTTTTTCTCCTATTCATACGATCTTACAATGACAGTAAGATCGTATGTATTGAGCAAGAACACATCAAATATATGAAAATAAGCAGAAATAAGAAGAAATTTGTTTCTGAAATAATATTTTAACACTAAGAAAACAGAAAAAAAAAAATCCTTGCCCCAAACACATGTGGTTTCACTTACGGACGAATATCGGCAGTAAAAACGCGATTTAAATTGATACACCAAGATTCAGACAATATGTAAAAAAAATAAAGGAATTCAGATAGTTAAACTTGTGCCGTTTTTTGTTTAGATAATGAGCTGGGTGTTCCTGAAAGGAAGTTATAATTATTCGAAAAATACCTATATGGTCTAAATGCTCCTATGGTCCGGCCCGTTAATAACCAAACGAGTATAATACTCATATGGTCCGGCCCGTTAATAACCAAACGAGTATAATACTCATATGGTCCAACAATATGAGTATACACATATGGTCATGACCACAGGCGTATGGTCCAAATACTCGTATGGTCCGGAACATATACAATATCAAATTCCATTAATTTTTTTTTTCCAAAACCATTTTAAAGCTCTGAAAACTTGCAGAAGGGCACAATGAAATAGTATAGAGGATTAAATTAATTAAATACATACCTATAAAGAATCCGAAAGAAGTCGAAAATGCCATCACAGATGCAAACTGGTCACATAACGGAAACATAAAACAGGTAATGGTACATCCAGCCATACCAAAGACACACAGGCATACAGACGATAATTTTGTATTGTCGATTATAAAACCCGGCAGGAGTCTGCCTAAAGTATTGACCACACCTAGATAGAAACAATGATAAAAAAAACAAAATCATTGCTTCACATTATTCAAAATAACATTGGACAACTATTTAACCTTGACTGGGTTTCGTAACCCGTTTTACAAAATGTTTTAATTTTCATTAAAAGTTATTTTAATTTATGCATGCTACAATGTTACAATAATGTCTATTACATGTATTATTTAGTCATGACCGGAATAGAAATATAGTTACTAATATCAGTACCTGTACTGAGTTAGGAGGGGTTGTTCAACATGTCCAATAAGATTGTAGATGTAATTTATGAATATATGAAGGGTCGGATGCTGGATTTTCGAAAGGGGGCTTAATTCCATAAAACAGATTATATACTGCCGAGTGGATCGAGGTGAAAAAGTTTTGGACGATTTTATGCTAAAAAAATCAAATCGTGGAAAACATGACATAATAATTGTTTGGGGCGATCAAAAAGGGGGTTTACGCTCTCTACGCCCCCTCCCCTTCCCCGGATCCGCAACTGATATAGACTCTTATTGTTTAATACTCTATCCCAAACAACCTGGTTAAACAATCATATGCGGTGCGGAATAGTCCACATCGAGGTTCGACTGTTGAATGTTTAATAAATAAAATTAAACTCAATACGTCCAATAGCTATTTTGTGTAAATGTTATCCACAGATTGTCAATTTTAATAAATGTAAAAAAAAACCAAAAGGGCTGAACATAATATAATTAATAATTTTAAAAGGTGATAGCATATGTATTCATTTCCGCAACACTATGCAACAGAGGAAGATAATGCCCTTCCTTTCTAAAACCTCTTGTTATAATTATGTTAAACGGAAATAAAAATGATCTGTTAGCAATCAATTTCAAGCTTTCGTTTTTCAATAAATTTATTTGCACATATTGTTTCTTTTTGTGCTAAGTTACATTATTAGGTTAATTATGAAAAAGTTGGCTATTTTTTAACATGACAATGCTTGGTATCGGTGTGTGCCTAATAAGTTTTCATTCCAGGTTATAAAATATTAATGTGTTGCTAATAGACCATAAGTTAAGTTTTGTCCTACCAAAAACAGAAAATATCCAAGACACTTCTATGCTGCTTAATCCAACGGTTTTTCCATAATCGCCAAGGAACATGTTCGGAATGAACTGTGCCATCTGAGAAAGGACAGCTGCGATGGCGACGAACCAAAATGCTTTATTAGCGCACAGACCTCCGTTGCATACTTTATGGTGATATTCACTTTCATCAGAAGAATTGGAAGTATCAAGGGATACTTTGCTATAACTGTATTCATCTCCTCTAATAACTATTGAACCAAGAAGGCTTTTTGTGTCACTATTATGTTTGAGACGAGTTAAACTACCACAATAGAAAATGTCTTTTTGAGAAAGAATGCCTTTGTTTAAATTTTTAAATAGAGATGAAGAATGCCGACGAGGCTCACTAATGCAGTGACTAGAGCGAAATTGGAGAAATGAACTTTTCTCATAAGGTGTCCTAAACATGTTTTGCGGCAGACTACTAGTACTATGCTTAAAATTTTCCGTTTTCGCAAACTGCATAGCATGCGTTTTACAACATTTCCCTTCAAAATGAATTTTTGTGCATTTATCACTCAATTGTGTTTTCTTAAAACTTCCAATACTTTTGTTATAACTTTCATTATCAAGGGATTTCACAGACAATATGTTGTCATGTTCTAAAAGTTCTGTATGTGGTTGATCAACTAAAATTTCAATTTCAATTTCATTTGAAATTTCTCCAATCGCTTTTGATTCTTCGGTATTCTTGCTTTGAGGTGATATTACCTTGTAAGTTCTAAACATCGCACAAGCAACACATAACTGCAGGAAAAAGCCAGCAAGAATAAGAAGTGTTCCCCGCCAACTATAAATGTCGAGCAATTTTTCTGTCACAGGGGAGATGACCATCAATCCAATACCAGAACCAGCAGACATGATACTCTGTGCAATGCCTCTTTTCTTGTCAAAGTACTGATTTACCATTACTATTGACGGTAAATACATAAGTCCCATACCGCAACCTGTGATAAGTAATAAAACGTCACTTTTAAGTATCATCTTTCTTTAATTACAGAAAAAAAAAATCGACTATGAATACACATAGAATGCTTAATGTTAGAGTTTTCTTTGCAATAAATAATAAAGTTAACAGTATTTGGGTAACAAATATATTTTGACTTACAGATAAAGAACAGTAGTTGTTTTTTCAATCTGCCTGCAGGGATTTTCTGTCAAATATTAATGCACAATATCAATTCTTCTCAATGTTTTTTTTAAAGTTTTGTCTCTAGTGTAGTGGTTGGTCATAAAAAGAGTTTCCCTTTCTATGTTTATGGAGTTTCCCTTTCTATGTTTATGGAGTTTCCCTTTCTATGTTTATGGAGTTTCCCCTTCTATGTTTATGGAGTTTCCCTTTCTATGTTTATGGAGTTTCCCTTTCTATGTTTATGGAGTTTCCCTTTCTATGTTTATAGAGATTGTTCTTCAATCGACTTGACTTATTTGCTCTATTTAAAACATTATTTCCTGTCGAGTAATATAACACACATCTTTATATGCCCTGTAGTTGTCCAAATGATTCGTCTTTGGGTTTTAAATTTTGTACTGAGATTGTGTCGCAATTTATGACAGTATTTGTTGGATTTCTCTTTTTGTGGTGATCCTCAATGCAAAAGGCGTTAGGAGCCGTGTTCAACATACAGTGAGGTAAGGGATTTTTTTTTGTGTTAAGGACCGTACCGTAACTAATAGATGAAGAACAGCAATACAAGTGTTTTCCTTTTGTTCACAGAGTTTGTCTCTGTCTGGAGATTTTTAGGCGTTCCCTCTGTTTGAGATACATACTCTTTAAATCATGTATATAGAATTTTTTATGTACGACCTTACTATTTTTCGGCCTGTTTGTTTATCAAAATTGCATTTAGCAAACTATTTAACCTACTTGCCAAACAATATAACAATTAACTTGATGTGCCCCGTGGTTGTCTGAATGTTTGTATTTTTGCGGTGAAATTCTCTGTCAATTTATGACAATATTTTAACTCGCTGACCGTTATAGTCTATGATTTCTTGATATTTTTCAACAGCCGTGTTTTCAACGCACATATGAGGCGTGATCTACATTTTGAAATAAATTTCACCAGTACCAAGGACCGTCTTTGTAATGCAGTGGGTTGTGAGCTATTGATCCGTTTTGAAGGCTACACTGTGACTTTAAGAAGAAGAACGTCAATAAAGGCCCTGTTCTCTTGCTTTTTCTCAAGTGCGTGTAGGAATATTGCGTCCCTTATAAGTACATCATATCCTGTATGTTCTTTTAAAATAAAGTTTTGTATCGAATGCTTATCTTCACGAGGGGAAAATCCTACTTCATTATAAAATGAATAATTTTACCAGTTTTAACTTATATTTACCTGTGAGTACACCATAAGTCGCAAGAAACATCCATATATTAACAGCCATGGAACTTAAAACTAATCCTAGTGTGGCAATCAGTGCTCCGGTTATAGCTACAACTCTGCAACCAAATTTTTCTATCAGAGGACAGGCAACAATAGCTACAAACATAATGATATCATATTTATTGTATGCCCTGTACTGATTTTAATCAATTAAAGTATTTTCTTCCCTAATGCACTTTGAAAAGCTACATACCGATAACATAAAGTCAACTACTAGTATATGTGTTTGCCCATCGGTTTGATAGTAAGCAAACTAGGGGGAAAATCTCACCAAAAAGTTATAACAGTGATTAAATATATTAAATTAAGCATTAAAGTGACAACTTGGTTACTTTACTACCGAAATACCACTTGATATAATTCCAGTGATTTCCCTTTGACCATTTATGGATTTCAAAGAAAATTGTACCAAAAAACTGTTCATTGGAACCCATACTTGTATGTATTGCACTTTGAGTCAAAGTAATTTTAAAAATGTAAATTGAAATCTTTTGATCATGGTACACTGAACAATTACATACGAAGATAAGAAATTAAGAAATCAGATTAATTTGGGTACCCTCCCCCAAATGTAGAAAAACAGTACTTACCAATAAATAAAAGACATCCAACGATAACCGAACCAGCCAGAGAAGTCAAAGAAGGACTAGCATGTAAATTTTCCATTAAAACTGGAAGTAAAAGTCCGTATGATCCGAATAAACCATCAATCATAAACATAACAAAGAATGAACACATTAATACAATCCATCCCCATCCTCCATCAGGAACTTTGTTTTCTTTTATTTCGTTACATAGCTCTTGAGTATCAGTTTTTAACTCTTTAAATTCTTCTGCTTCAGTTGTCATCGTTGCTTCTGTAATGCGATGCTGGTAATATACCCGATGATTCTGTCATTCGTCAATTCATATCAACGATGTCACAACTTTATCATCTGTAAATATTTATATTGAAGACTTAGTACATCACATTCATAATCAATTTAATTTTTTTTAAACACCACACCTAAAATATGCACATTTTCTCAATTTAATCATTCTTGATATTCATGACAGTTGTGTGTAAAGTACATGCGAATTGAATAATGAAAGGAAAATTCCAAAGAGGCAATCAAAAACAAAACAGACAATACCATGACAAAACACAAGATTGAGTAACGCAAACCTTACCAAAAACCGGGGTAAACCCAGGTGCCCGGGAACAGTTAGTAGTTCCTGCTCCACTAAACGTAAAAATACCAAAATGTAGTCATTTGCTGCATCGATGTGAATTTTCAGTTGATAGTTATAAAGTTCTACAGAAAGATGATCGGTAAAGTTATGATAGCCAAGGAGGGATACATATATGAGAGTCTTTAAAATTAAAACGGTACTTATTCATCTAAGGTAAACTTTGCCTATGCCGGGTTGAATCTTAGTTTTTGAAAAGGAATTGGATACCATAGCCGTTTAAAAGACAAACGATATTCAAATTCGTTGCAAACTTGTAGACTTTTAGAAAATACTATCAAAATTTAATCAGTTTTAATTTAATATTTCGAATCATGTGTAGGATAAATGCCGATGCGGATCCAGGATTATGAAAGGAGGAGGGGGGATGGTGTCCCCCAAACTAGACAGTTTGGAGTGTAATAGGGAACTAATATGGATTAATCATAAATGTAGCTTCATAAGGGGGCCCGGGCACCCAGCCACCCCCTAATTCCGACCCTGCAATGAAAGGAATATCCGGCAATGTTTATGGTACGTTTCCCTAATTTTCGCCTCTTGAAGTGTTTCCTATATTCAATACCCAAACTGAAGGTAAACTGAAAAATCAACGCTAGAAATCGTGTACAAATAAGGAAATTTTGTAATCTATTAACTCACGAGAATGAAAAGTAATTATTGAAAATGAATACACTTACATCAATATACAGAATTATATAGTTCTACATATATAAAATAGATATGTAAATGTTAGACGAAATGATGAATAAGAAAATATAGCTATAACGGTTATATTGATCTGGCTCTGCCTTCCACATACACATGCACAGTAATCATGACTAACTTTGTATAACTTTAATAAATAATATTGTAATGTCACCGTCGTGTTGCCTATCAAAGGCCCTTGAAATGACCAATAAGTATTTAATGTTAAAATAAAATAAATGTAACACTGATATGTAAAATGTTCATGAACGTCATCTATATATATATATATTTATACGAAAATTCCTTGGACATGTTTGAACAGTTTTTTTTTATACATTATATATTTTTGAAATTTCCGTTGCAATGGAAAGAGAAAGTCTTAATAAAAGGACTGGTCTATCTTTCTTTTATTTACCGGATCAATGATTGTTTCATTGTATGAATAAGAAAATGACAGCTTTGATACATTTCTTATTGTTATTTGATACAACAACGAGAACAGATACGTAATTAAATACACATAAAATATTGATTTGTACTGTCGTCACAATATGAAACACACTATAAATACACACAGATATGTTTAGAGTGTGCATATCATGTGTGATATTTAAACAAAGTAAATACACATTCATACCACTTTATTATTGATAAAGACTAAATGACATGAACAAAACATTTATTCAGTGAAAAGAAAACCAATCGTTTGCGTAAATGCTACTTACAACCCAGATACGTCAAGTCCCAAGATAATCATTGGAAATAATGCATTTACAGAAGCATTGTTAAACTTATTCTAGTTTCAACCGGTTGTCATGTGCATGCATTCGTGAACTCTTAACCAGATCAAACCAGTTTCATCACTCTTTGCCAATGCTTGTGAACAATGGTGAATGTACCTTTGGTATCTTTTACCTCTCTTTCCTGAGTCTCTTTCAGTATAGAAAGTCTTAAAAAGGAAAATAAATAATATCACAGTGAATTAAAGGGGAAAAGAGGGGGGGGGGGGGGTCACTACTTAAATAGATAGAAAGACGTAAATTGTCTTATTTCGATTGTCTAGTAATTTATAATCTAAAGTCGTACATGTAAAAAAAATGACAATAATAATTTTTAATTTAATATCTATGTTAAAGAAAGTTAAGATTTTATGTAAAAGGGAAACATATAACTCATTCCCTGAATACAATCTTGTTATCTTATAATCATATATTTAGGATGTACTTAGGTGAAATTAAAAAAAACATCTAGAATTTAAAATTGATACTATAAGTCAGAAGAGCATTAGATAAGGAACAAAATAAAAATATTGATAGGTTATGGAGCTAATTTTCAAAAATGGCGGGAAAAGGCTGACCAGTGGCGTAGCTTGCCTTCTGTTATTACCGAGGCAGGGGATCTGGGGGCTGTGTCTCCCAGAATCTATCGAGGTTTTTACAATTTGAACAAGAAGAATCTATTAAAATGATAGCTGTTGTTTAATTTATTTCATCAAAATAAAATATGCTTTAACTTGACTAAGTTAAACTACCAATTTATAAGTTGATTACTGGTACCTACATCATTTTCAATGTTCAGATGAATACATAAATCTTCTCAAAAGCATTAACCACTTTTTCAAATCGAATTCTTTCAGTGAACTTCCCAGATTTAAAATTCTTTACGATTAAAGGAGATGGATATGTCAAGTTCAAAATTGTCCTGACTGAGTCTATATAAAGTATACAGTTGTGTATGATTTAAACCGATACTATCTAATCTTAGGTCGACTCAAAGTTATAAAAATTAAAAAAAAAAAAAAAAAGAAGACAACCACTGACAAGTTTCCTGACTTCCTAGCAGTAACTGAAAGCCAGCTCAAATGCCTAATCTCCCGATATATTTCCAAGCCGTCGTACACTCTAATATAGGTGACTGCACCGATGTTAACGTCATATCAGAAGGAAAACAGGACCTTGTTCGATGGCCAGAAGAAACTTGTACAGAATTTTCAATGCAGAAAAACAAACGCAACGATTAATGTTGATTCAAAATAATTTTTGTGATGATCATTTACTCGTTTGGTCGTGGGTCACGAATCAACGAATAGATAATTATAAGATCACAAAACGACGGAAGGATTGAACATCAGAATTTTTTTATAAACTAGGAAATAAACTGTTAACGCATTCTACATGTAAAGTGCACCACGGCACTTGTATTGGTTGTGTTTTGTCCTGGTATTTCTTGGAAGGTCTTCAAATTCTTAAATGGTTTTGAACTTTTTCCAGTTGTGAAAATGAGAAACGGAGAAATACTAACATTTACGTTATTCTGAAGTCTTCATGATAAATGAAAACAGTATTTGGTTGACATTTTTATATATCAAATGACATTATGTATGAACTGACTGACATGTAATAAATATTTCTCTGAAATTAGTGACTCCTTTAAATATTTTAAATTCCCTGCTAGTAAAAAATTATAAATTTAAAATAGCGAGAAAGAAAAAACTTGAGAACCGCAACATATAAATTATTTTCTGATGTATATTTTATTTTGATTAGTACCAAAGTCAATGAAACTCTGTGTATTTAAGTACTACACGTAGGGGAAAATGTCAACACACAATGATGTTTCAATTTTAGACGTTACCGGTTATATATAAGGGTTTGAATGGGGGTCTTCAAATATTTATTTTTAGTTCTTTTCGCCCATAGTTTGATTTTCCTTTCTTTTCTTTTTTATATTTTAGCACCTTTCTAAATCTCTATTCTTTAAAATTATTTTCAGGGCATTTTTCTGTTTTCTATAAACCTCATATACTAGAAATTATTCTCACACACAATTAAATAATTTACCTGAATCAATGCTTAAGTGATTCGATCGGGGAAGACTCGTGAGTTGGGTCATCATGTATTCTACTGATTTTGCTTGCAATGGGGTAGGATTAAATAAATTTGTCGGCTTCAATTGTGTCGATTTTTTTCACTCTGACATATTTTGATTACAGAAAACTACCGCAAAAGGGATTTCCAACTAGGGGAGGGAAATGTATCCATAAGTCTTGAACTCGCAAAGGGTATGAATCAATAACGGCAACCAAGTCGGTATATTAGCGTTTAGCATTAGGTGGAAATCGTTTAAAAGATTATAAAGGATTTTTGTTTTACCGAGGCAGTTGCCTCGGTTGCCTCAACGTAAGCTACGCCAATGCTGACTCGGACTTTTACCTTATATTTGCATTGGTATTATAAATTTTGGTAAATGACCTTTTATGGGCTATTAAAGTCTTATATGAAAAGAAAAATGGGTGTTATGGGGCAAAGTATTTTACCCTGTATCGTAGGAAAAAAACAAAGGAGTCCGAACATTTGACAAAAATTCCTAAACCTCACCTAAGTATATCCTTAACATAAATGATCGATACACAAATAGGTTTCTTCCTCATCGTGAATAAGCATGTTTGTCAAAAGCTCATATTGCAGCATCCAATTATAAATTTCTCCGTTAAAAACTTGTACAAAAAACTTGCATTTGGATTTGTTCATCAGTGGATGGAGATAATATGGAGAATTTTTAGTTTAGTAAAACATTTTTTGAAGCAGTAAGGGGCCGACCATTTAATTTTTGGGTGATGGGGGTTGGATTTTGAAAATAAATAATCTGGCCTGGTAAATAGATAACTTTGCACATGACAGACTAGAAATGAATATTCTGCATCACAAAATGTAGGATACGGATGTGTACAAAAAATAAATTAAATTTCCGCGCGGAAAACAAACCATCAGGTGTAGCCATAGATGGAAATAAATATTCAATCCGGCAAAAAAATAATCTTCCTGTACCCCCTCCCCCACTCCAAAGTTGATCGTACGGAGGAGGAGGGTTGGTCAACAAAAAAAAAACCGAAGTAATGTTTTGCAGTGGTACAAATACTACCTATGCTAAAGGTCACCGACCACATGAGGTGTTATTCCAATGCATAGTTCTTTACTTCCAGAGCGAGGCACTGTCCCAACAAAAAGTATATGGCTTAACGTCCCCATTCCAAACGGTCATTGATACGATTTTTTAAAAGCATTCCGCACAGCCAACATGCCTTCTCCTTTTCCTGCATGTGTCAGACAGGAGTAGTTCGGTTAAGTTTCCTAGTCAAACCTTTCGTAAGCACAATTTTGAGGTATAGTTGATTTCATACATTTGCATTTTTTCAGATTAAACAATACGTGTATTGATCTTTTGTTGTTTGTTGAGACATTGACGATCAAACATGGTTTCGTATTTAAACATCCACACAGCCAAAATGACATGCCCTCTATGCATGGGCTTTAGTGCCGGATGCGAGAAGTCCAGATGACTAAATTTATAAATGTCAGTCAACCCCTTGCGCTGTATCAATACAATAAAAGAATGTTTTCATGAAAAAAAACATTTATTTATAAGACAGGTAAAGTAACAACTGTCATACAAGTGGGAGGTTTAGCTAACTATAAAACCAGGTTTAACCCATCGTTTTCTTCGGAAAATGCCTGTACCGAGTCAGGAATATGGCAGTTGTTTTTCACATGTTCCGTTGATTGATAGCGTTTGATTTTATAAGTTTTTATGGACTTCCCCTTTTTGAATTTGCCTTGGAGTTCGGTATACTTTTTTACATGTAATGTTCTATGGTTGTTGATTCGTTTTCAAGATCATAAATGTGATAAAAAGACCGATTAGGATTTCATTTGTAACAATTTAGTTCAACCGAATTATCCACCCTCTCTGTAAAAAATAAGACGTTGTATGATTGCCAACGAGACAACTATCCACCAAAGTTCAAATGAAGTGGATGTAAGCAATTATAGGCAACCGTACGGCCTTCAACAATGAGAAAAACCCATACCGTATGGTCGGCTATAAAAGGCCCCGTCATGCAAAAATATGAAACAATTCAATTGAGAAAACTAACAGCCTAATTTATAACAAAACAATTTACGAAAAACAAATATGACAGACATGAACCAAAGACAACCACTGAACTACAGGCTCCTGACTAGGGACAGGCACAGAAAGAATTTGGCGGGGTTGAACATGTTTGTGAGCGCTCAACCCTCCCCTAACCTGGGACAGTGGTGTAACCGTACAACATAACAACAAACTTTAAAAATCAGTTGAAACAGGCTTAACTCATCAGATGGATACAAATAGAAATACATCTAACAAAAACACAGAGCGGACTTGGACGGGTACTTATACATACCCACAACAAAAAGACACTAAATATAAAAAGAAGACGTGGTATGATTGCCAATGAGACAACTTTCCACAAGAGACCTAATGACACAGAAATTAACAACTATAGGTCACCGTACGGCCATCAACAATGAGCAAAGCTCATACCGCATAGTCAGCTATAAAAGGCCCCGAAATGACAAATGTAAAACAATTCAAACGAGAAAACTAACGGCCTAATTTACGTACAAAATAATGAACGAAAAACAAATATGTAACACAGCAACAAACGACAACCACTGAATCACAGGCTCCTGACCCGGGACAGGGACAGAATGTTGCGGGGTTAAACTAAGTACAGATCTGAGAGTACTCGCAGTTACTGACAGCTAGTTCAAAGCCAATACCAACTAGTAAAAAAAGCATGAATCTAAGACTAAAATATGCTTATTTGACTTTCTCTATGCATACATGATTTCTAATGTAAGTAAATCTTGACCTTATTCGTACACTTAAAAGAGAAAAAATATTAAATTAAAAAAAAAAGGATAAAAAGACAGCAAATAATTAACATGCATAGAATAATGCATATTTACCTGTCAATATTAAACTGAATTATCTAATGTCCACTGTAACTTTATGATGATGCTTGGGTTCCACAAAGTTAAAAGTTGATATAAAATATACATAATGATATAAAGTCAACAGTTGCAAATCTTTTTATCATAAATCACACTCAAAAGCTTCAACTGATGTTTAAAAACATATTACGACTAAAATTAATCGCAAGTTAAATTGAAATGTTCAATACTTATACGACGATTACTAGTAGTATTCTCGTAAATTGTTTTTGTGAGACTGTTTCTGAAAAGTAAATACATGTTACATGGTCGGTTGATATGTATCATATATTCAAGAGTTGGTATAAGATCAAACTCTATGTGATGTGCGCTTAAAAAACCTTACCACAAAACTTTAAAAGAGATACATAACTGAACAGCTTTAGGTCAAACGTTAAGGTTCTACCCAAAACAACGTTGTTTTCCAATGGAATGTTAAATTTCCACTTTCCAAGTCTACACCTATTGATCCGAACCAGACATGATGATTATTTTACATCACTGAAACGGAAATTTATATATCAACAACATATAATTTTTTAAGAAAAATCTATGGAATTTAAATTGGAGATTTGATGATTTCAAGACAAATTTAAGATTCGTTTTTTTCCAATTTTGTTAGCTTTCTATACAAATGTTCATCTATTTGAAAATAATTCAATCATTAATATTTAAGAAAATAAAAGAGATAAATGCATTGTTTTTTCGATTTTCAGTTATAGTTCTACGAGTCAAAGTTGTATGCAAATTGCTTACCAAAATCTGTGACATAGCCCATTTACTGTACCTTGACCTTAAAAGCATCTGTTGAAAGGCAGTCTTAAAATTGGTTTTAATGGCAGATCTTTGATTGTTTTTGTTAAATTTATATACATCGTTATAGACTATGGAAAAACAACAGCTTGGCATATTGTATATACAGACACATGTCTATTGTTGAAAACTGTATGTTGGCCTCTAGATGTCTTTTGGTTATTTTTGTAGTTGTGTTGCGATCTCATTGACGTATATCCCAAATCTCATTTTATTTAAATAACTCAGATTAGGCGACACGGGGCTTGATAAAAGGTTATGGTTCCACCCTTTATAAAAGCATTTATCGAATCTTTCTCCACCTTTCCATTCAAATTAATTAATATTTAATATGTTGTTAATATGAAAATAAGAAGATGTGGTATGATTGCCAATGAGACAACGCTCCACCAGAGACCAAATGAGATAGATGTTAACAACTACAGGTCACCGTACGGCCTCGGAACAATGAGCAAAACCATACCGCATAGTCAGCTATCAAAGGCCCCGAAATGAAAATGTAAAACGATTCAAACGAGAAACATACGGCCTGATTTATGTATAAATCAATGAACGAAAAAAATATGATATACAGCAACAAACGACAACAACTGAATTATAGGCTCCTGACTTGGGACAGACACGAACTGAATATCTGAATATGGCGGGGTTGAACTAGTTTACTGGCGCTAACCACCCCCCCCCCCCCCCCCCCCCCACACACACACACCATAACCTTGGAAAGTAGAGTAACTGTTCAACATAAGAACAAACTATAAAAATCAGTTGGATCATCGGATCGATTTAAAGCAGAGAAACAACTAACAAAAACACAGACCGGACGTGGCAGGGTATATATACATCCCTAAGAACAAAGAAGACACGAAGTTCAGATCTGAGAATACTTGCAGTTACTGACCGCTAGTTCAAAGCCAATAACAACTAATACAAAAATCATGTATCTAAGCCTATCATATTCCACTAGAAGACTATAATATCGTATGATAAACGACAAAGAATGAAAATTAATCAAAAATGGTCCAAAAAATTATTGAAAGGCAATAACTTCTACAAAAAGTTGATTAATAGTTAATAAATTTCCTTTTCTGAAGACCTTGTATCTGTATTTTCTATTAATCTATAAACAGTTTTGAAGATAAAAAGAAAACGTGCAAAAATATGTCGAAATCGTCATTTTAGAACCATTACTCCAATAAGAAACGAAAAGACAGTTTCAGTCACATTGCCATTTTTGCAAATCTTTTATGGCTGATCATTTCTGCTGTTCACAGTTTCTGCTTATCATTAATAGTTTCCATTATAGAAGGCAAAAAACGTAAAAGATGTCAAAATTCGACAAGTGTGTACAATACCTTCTAAAGGTATACGTTGTGAACAGTGGATTTCAATAACAAAATAGGTATTTTCTAGATCTTTTATATTTTATTGCTGATCATTTTTGCTCCTTACAGTTTCTGTCTATCTATTACAGTTTTTAAAATACTTTTATAGGCAAAAATGCTAAAATTCGTAAAAACACCATGTGTCGACAAAAAGTATCAATCAAACTGCCAATTTTGTAGATCTTGAATTACTCATAACTTTTGTCATTCCAGTTTCTCTCCCTCTCTAATCGTTTTTTTTTAAATGATAGGCATAACATAGTATAATATATAATATATCTATAGTTGGTATGCGGATATGATTGGCGAAAAAAAAACCAATATAATTCGTCAAAATCATCACTTAACGTTTCATTTACATTTGCATATTTGTAAGTCTTGAATTGCTGATTATTTTTGTTATTACAGTTTCTATCAGTGTCTGAGCAGAAAGTTGATGAAGCAGGGTTATGTCAAAGAACGTCACGTCCTTTTTCTAAAAAAAGTTCATCAGAAGATACCAAGACCTAGTTGATAAATATTCCGTATCAACTTCACAAATAATACATGATAGTCTTGATGTATAGATTATATGTACTGACGTTGTTTATCATCTTAATGACGTGTTATATTGTTCTTTTATTTTTCCTTGTAAACGATTAACCTTTACTGTTTAATCCATTTTTGGTAATATCCTTTTGGCGTGAATCGGTACTTATACATCCCGCCATTGTGTTATTGTGATATAGTCATTTTTTGTATTCTTATCTTTCATTTTTGCTTATGTGCTTTGTCTATTTCTTTGTTGACATATTTGTTTATTTTTATAGTGATTATGATTATAAAACAATGTTGACTGCTGTACCCCTATTTTTGACAATTTACCTATTATGTCTGCTTGTTTTGATCACACATTGTTGTCAATATAATGGAATTTTATGCGACTGCCATACAAGTGAGAGGTTTAGCTAGCTATAAAACCAGGTTTAATCCACCATTTTCTACATAAGGAAATGCCTGTACCAAGTCAGGAATATGACAGTTGTTTTCCATTCGTTTGATGTGTTTGAGCTTTTGAATTTGACATTTGTTTAGGGACTTTCCGTTTTGAATTACCTTGGAGTTCGATATTTTTGTTATTTTACTTTTTTTTTTTAATTTTCAAAATAATAGGCAATAGAAAACAAAACAAATAAATTGTCAAAAGTCAATGGCAGTAACTACTGTAAGGATCTTGTATTATTTATAACTTTTGCTGCTTACAGTTTCTTTATTTCTGTTCTTGCTGTTCGGTGTGAGCCAATGCTCCGTTCTGAAGGCCGTACCTTGACCTATAATGGTTTACTTTTATAAATTGTTACTTGGATGGAGAGTTGTCTCATCGGCACTCTTACCACATCTTACTATATCCATCAATAGTTTTTTCAGTAAAAAGGCAAGAACTGATTAAAAAATCGTAAATCAAAAGCCGTACATCCTACTAGTAGTCGTCTGATAAATTTAGCAAAAAATAGAAAGTAGTCAGATAAAAAGGCCCAGAAGATACAATGTGGACATATAACAAACTATAAATCGAAGAAAAACCGACAAAACCATGGCCTTAATGACAAAAAGACAAACAACAGTCCACAAAACACTAAAAAAGAAAAAAAAAAACTGATATAGATGTTTCACAAATTCCACCATAAACCTCGATGATTGCCTTAGAGCTTTGCGAGTTTTTGTGTGTTTTGTCTGACCTGACCGATGATCGAAACTATGACCCCCGTACCCAAGGCGAGCAAGCAACCATGAGACCACCGAGGAGGTTGAACCGTTCAATTGTAAGGAATTCAAACCATAGCAAATATATTATTGAAAGAATGAAAACAAACTTCGGATTATAATTTGTTTGTGTTTACTGTTGACAGTTTAGATAGCATGTATTTTGTTATACTTATGCAGAACATGTTAGGTATGATCAACATCAATTGGCATCTATGTAGGCACATACTATATATAAACATGAAATTCTGAAGAGGAATTTAAATGAAATTGAGCCATAATAAATTAAAGATACCACATCACTTTGCTTTTCCAAGTCACACATATAATAGAACACGTCAGCTTAATAAACAAGGAATAACATGCCAGTAATATTTTTCATTTTATCGAGCGCCATTACAATATACATGTATTTGTTTCTGTTAAATAAAATCTTCTCTGAGGTCGTAAAAACAAATCCCCTTTGAATCGCAAATTTATGCATATATATATATTTGTACAACTTTGCCCCCAGCAGAGATATAGAAAAACAGTACATTAACGGATGTTACACGGACACTTTTTAGATGATACACGGACACTTTTTAGTTGTTCACCGACACTTTTTATGAATAGAATCACTCGTGCATGATCAGTTAGTTCATGGGCACTTTAAATTTCAATATGATTTGAACTTTTTATTTCATCGACATATTTCCTGTCTTTTTGACTAAAATATTTACGTTAGCATCAATAACTATGTTTTTTTCAAACAATTCCAGTAACTATTCATGTTAGTACACTAAGGTATTGACCATTTAACCTTAAAAGGTGGGTTATGGTTTTTTCCAAAAAAAAAACAATTTTGATCCCCAATTTTATGAGAAAAAATATATAATGGTCAAGCAGATGACACTGAAAATAATGACTTACTCAGAAAAGAACACACCCCCTTTTGAAGCTAAATGGTCGGTCCGTAAATGTATTTTTTTGCAATATATGGACATGAACAGTATTCTGGACAATGCTGAAAGAAATGCTGGTACCAACGTTTATATTTAAATAAAAAAGACAGGAATATATATATAAAAATCAAATCTAATCAAAAGATAAAATCCCTATCAACTCACCAATGCACGATTGATCCTATAAGTAAAAAGTGTCCGTGTAATACATGTTCAAATATGCAGCAAATCTTGAAGAAAATCATTCAACTTATGTCATCAATTTTGGACGGTAAGCTCTGATTGGATCATATCGTGACACGTGTTTAATCCTGATCAACACTATCAGAGACATATTAAAACCTATAAGCATGAACATTTTTTTTTTGAATCCAAAATATATGCCTATATATATCTAATAACAAGACAAAATCGATTTTTTTTATAATATTTCATTCACTAATGAGATAGGAAATTCATTCTTTTGATACACTTATATTGTTATTGAATTCGCAATTCCCCCAATAAAAATCAAATGGTAGCTTGCTTACCTCTGAAATCTTTTTTATGCATTACTTACTTGCGAAGTTGCATTTCAAAAAGTCTCAAATGTGTATTACATTCACCTTTAACTTGAAAT